GGGGATGGTGAATGTGAAAGGAAAACCAGGAAACTTCAGAACCTGTGGGAGGGCAAAATTTTTTTATAACTTGTTTGTATTTTTAAAAATTGTGCTTTAAGTGTTTTTTCCTGAAAGAGAATTTGACGTTTAACAATCCTTGGCGTGCTGATTTGGGGAAAGCAGTGGTGTAAATAAGGGGTGCAAAGGACGAACAGAGGCTTTGTGAGTTGTAGTTAAGGTGGATGGCAACAATTAAGGTTGAATGGCAACTGAAAACTTGTGGATGCTTCAGAGAGACTTGCAGAGGGGCAAAGCGAGGAAAACAGCCTGCAGAAGTAGAGAAGGACATGACTGCAGGGGGAATGCACTGGGATCGGGCACCAGGGTAGGTTTTATCCTAAAAGTGTAAATAGTACTGGGGTTTTTTTGAGCTGTGGGGCGCAGCGTTGTCCTCTGGTGTGGTCAGCAGCGTCCTCCCAGGACGCAGCTCTGGGCTGAAGGTTACTTGGGCAGTTTGTTAGATCAGGTCATTTTTTCTTTATACCAGAGCCGTTTTATTTAAAGTTCTCCTGATGTGTGTAAGGATGCCTGTAAGGACTGGTGTGTGCAAGTGGGAAGGCTCCTGACACACACAACACCACAAAACTGTGATGCGCTGCTGGTTTGAATACCTAAAGCATCTTCTCAGTTGCTCTTTAATGTAAACGTCAGATGCTGCCTTGCTGGTGCCTGCTTGATGTCCAGTGGTGCCGGGACGGCTGCAGAGGTGTGGCAGGTCCCCACGGCTGCTCGCAATCCAGGTGTGGCTGTTCCTGGGCGGCAGTGTGGGGTTTTGGGGACACTGATGTTTCTGCTGTCGTGAATGGGCTGATGGATGGAGTGGCTTCGCGCCAGGTGTGCCAGTGGGTGTGCGCAGGGCCCCGGGGGTGCGTGTGGCCTTTCGGTCACAGAATCGCTCGGTTAGAAAAGCCCTCTGAGATCATCACGTCCAACCGTTCCTGTCTACCCCTAAACCATATCCTTAAGTACCTCGTCTACCCGCTCTTTAAACACATCCAGGGATGGTGACTCCACCACCTCCCTGGGCAGCCTGTGCCAGCTTCTGACGACCCTCTCAGTAAAGAACTTCCTCCTTATCTCTAACCTGAGCCTCCCTTGGCACAGCTTGGTGCCGTTTCCCCTTGTTCTATCCCTATCACCTGGGAGCAGAGCCCAGCACCCACCTCTCTCCAAGCTCCCTTGAGGCAGTTGTAGGTGGTGCTGAGGTCTCCCCTCAGCCTTCTCTTCTCCAGGCTAAACAAGCCCAGTTCCCTCAGCCGCTCCTCATCAGGCTTGTTCTCCAGAGCCCTCCCCATCCTTGTGGCTCTTCTTTGAACACGCTCCAGAATCTCAACATCCCTCTTATAGTGAGAGGCCTATAGATAGGGTCAGGAGGGTGTGAAAGGAGCCAGAGCTGGGGAGCTGGAGAGGGCCTGTCAGACCTGGGCAGGGCGGAGATGTTGGGGGTTTGAGGTTGACTTACATTGTTGGTGGCCAAATGGAGAGTACTTGTTGGGAGTTTGTTGCTATCCTGGATGTTGAGTCTCCTGGAAAACGTGAAGGGAGTTTAAAAAAATGCCAAAATGCTGAAAGCCAGTGTGTCATTACACAAACAGTGTTATCCTAGGGTGACAGCAAGGAGTGCTTTGTAAACATCCTTGGCGTGGGCTGCGTCTTACAGTTTTCTGAACTTACCAGCTCTTCACTCTGTGATGAGCTGCTCCTGCCAGCAGTGAGGTTTCTCCTGGGTAATGTTGGCATTGCTGGTGGTGGAGCTAACACTTGTCAGGTTGCCCTTAGGTTTCCCTGACTGGAGTGTGGCTGCGGATCTGTTGGCGTTTTGTTTTGGCTTGCTTGGTTTTGTTGAAAGAAGCTGTAACGTTGTGTTTGTACTTGGAGAAGAGATCGGAGTGAGGGAGCGTTGCCGAATGTATCAGTAAATAAAGTGGTGGGTGTTGTGAAGCTTTACCCCCACCTAACTGGGGTAAAAGTCCCCTGCACAAGCATCTAAAAACACCTTCTCTAAAGTTTCACTAAGAAAATCCTGGTGTAGCCCGGTGAGTGGGAATGGGGATTCCTGGGATTCCTGCGCAGTGCATTTCCTCTTGGTGCTTTGTTTGAAGTAGTTGGCAAACGGGGTTTAACAGAAAATCGGCCGTGGAAAATCCCAGGAGCA